ACCATCTGAAGGATGTAAAGTTCCAGTACGATGATAAAATTGTCCGTGTATTCTAAAACAGTATGGCCCATATCCTGATGGCGATGCAATATTTGCACCCATGGAAGCAAAAGCAAAAGAACTATTTATGGATCGACTATTTTCCATGAAATTTTTACTGTCAGAATCCTCGTTTGTCATTAATCTTTTAAAATATACTGGGTATTCTGGAAAATGTACATCACTGGGACAAACTTTACCTTTGCTACCACATTGAGTAAATTTCCCATTGGATGGTTTTTCATCAGAGAAATTTAGTGATAGGCAAAATTCACATCGAACCGTCATTCCACCACAATTATGTTCAAGGATTGCATCCTCATGTACTCCATTTTCGCTGAGAAGGCAGTTCCTACCGGTATTGGTAGTACTTGTTGATGACTATTCTTTTGACATATTCTGTCAGCACCGCCTCCTTCTTTCAACTTCAGAGTCATGTTGGTCTTTAGACATTTTCTGTCAATGACACTAGCTTCTTTCAACTTCAGAGCTATGTTGTGCCAATAATTGCTCTTCAGATACATTCTATCTCTGACGCCGCCTTCTTTCAGCTTCAGAGGCACGTTGGTCTTCAGACATTTTCTGTTGATGACGCCGGCTTCTTTCGGCTGCAGAGCTACGTTGTGTTAGTAGTTGCTCTTTAGACATATTCCCACCTCCCTGCTGTCAGGGTCTGGGATGCAGGTGAATGAGAGTCCTGGCTGTCAGGCCGCTGAGAGCTGGCTGACCAACGGCTGATTCTGGCTGATCCTGTGGGGGATGAGACTCTCTCCCTGCTGTCAGAGTCTGGGCCGGCACCCACGGGGACATGGTGTCAAGTCCGCCTGTGCCAGGAGACCCAGAGTCAAGTCCCCGCCCACTTGCATGTACCTCAGAATCCTGTGAAATGCAGACCTGCCTGCGCCCATGCAGATAGGTGCAGCATCCAGCCTCACGGACCCGCGGGACGCCTGGTGGAGTCGCCCCCGTGGTGCACTCAGCTGATGGAACTCCGGGGAAGCTGCGTGGAGCAGCAGGGGGGACCCATCCACCTCACCCCCCCGGCAGGGCTGAGGGGACTCCTGTGGCAGGCGCACGTAGCGGCCAGCCCCGCCCCCGCTGTGGGTGCCACCATCTTGTTACAGCATGATGGTCAATTTGCATATCCCCTCTTTATTAGATAGGATAATTTTCTAGTGAGTTACATATAAATTGTGTATATATAAAGTTGATATCTTTAAACCCCAATTACAGATTCTTTGAAAATGTATTTTACAAGTTCTTGTAACACTTACACCATATGACTTCTGCTCAGAATGTTTAAAAGGGCTTCCCATCTCACTTAAGATAAAAGTCCAAGTCCTTACAGTAGCCTCCAAAGCCTGTGTAATTTGGTTTCCTGTTACTTATCCTCCATAACGTAACTACCACTGTAACATTACTCCTACTTTATTAGTCCCCTGTTTGCTGTTCCTTGAGCATGCCAATCTTGATTCCATTTCAAGGCCTTTATATTATTCTCCTAGGACTGTTTTCCTCAGTTGTTCCCTTCAGAATTCTGCTCAAATGTTATCAAGGCACTTTCCCTGACCTAGGTAGGGAACGTAAATAGCATCTCCCCAGCTTTTCCTGTTACTCTACTTTGTTTTATTTTAATAGCACTCATAGCCATCTGACATATATTAATTGATTTCTTCCATACATTCTCCTTTTGCCCCACTAGAAAGTACAAAGTCACTGAGTATAGCAATTGTTTATTTTGTTGACTGGCATAGGTTGATAGAGAGAGAGAGAGAGAGGTATCTAGCAAGTGAGACTGTTAGTCTCAGAGGTTGTTAGATTTGTCTAACTTTTCATTCACTATGATACATGGGAGGTTAAACCTTCTGATTTTTAGTCTATTGATCTTGACATTGTATCACATGGCCATTCAAGACAGTGTTTATAGTTGGATGGGTACTTAGTTTAAACAGACTTGAACTTACTTGTGTATCACATAAATT